GGGAACCCCCCCCCCCCCCCCCAATTTATAACAAACAGCTAACCCAGTTTTCTATTTCCTTAAAACTTCCTGTAAAATAAGGTTAATATGTGCCTTCAAGCAATAACATTTAAAAGTGTTTTGGAAAAATATTAAGCTTAATACAAAATATATCTGAGATCACATCTTTGTAACACTAGCACAGTACCTTGCTACAAAAGACATTACAATGTGAATCCTATTCCACAGTTAATGTCCACGGGTACAGTCTGACTTCTCTCACAAATCTTCACAAAATTTGGTGAAATTAGTTGACCACTCCTTTTATAAATTAACCTTTTTCTTCCAAGCAAAAGTTTCCTTCAGGGAAGCTGCTAGCTAGTGAAAACACAGCCCTTATTTATTTTTTAAAAGGTACTTTATCTTCACAGTAAAAAGAACATCCATTGTCCTGCTTAGTGATACTTAACAGTAAAAACTAAAGGCTTGGGAAAGCAATAGAAATATTAAGGGTATACCAGAAATGGCAATCAACTAGAAATTCAAGTTCCCCTTTGGTATTTTCTTTTGAGGTTTCCGTACTATGCAACTGTCTGTCAGATATATAATACACAAAATATACAGAATATACAAAAGATATTCTGAAAGTATGAAGAAAAATATTAACACATAAATATTTACCTCTTTTTCTGGTTTTAAAACGCTGGCCTGATAGCGTTGGCTTTTGCTGCTTTTGATTATTCATAAAAGACACCCTAGGAAAACAGAAGTAAGGCCTTAAAAATACCAGTGACATAACATTCATTTTTGAAACAAGGCTTCAAACCTTAGTCTAGTCACATACAAATTAAATGAAACAACACTTTCAGCTTGGCAATATACCTGGTGCAGGTACAAAGAATTACTTTCTCTTGAATTAAATGTAACTTCAAAACCTGCATTTCGCTCTGTAAGAAATCATTTAAAGAAATTCTGTGTACTACACCTTTAAATGACTTTACGATGCCACAGTGATTGGCGTCAAATTACCCACCATAAACATAACCGTTTAGTCTCTTCCACATTCCTCTTTAAATTCGCCTACATCTTCCACTACTTCTAAGCACACAGAACGCAGATTATCACTGTAGTCAGCAGGCATCCAAAACGTGGAGATTAATTCCAAGACACGGGCAAAAGGTGAATCCCTTCTTCTGAGGGGCTTGGCTATGGGCAGCACCACCCTGCCCTAAAGTTGTGCCTGTGACTGCAGCGGCCGACTGCACCACTGCAGCCTGCAAAAGTAACTGCAAGCGGGCCTAGCCTCCTTTGCCCTATACCGTACGGTCCAAGCCTCCTCCCTGGGCACATGTCTCCCACTCCACACCCTTCCCGTGCCTCCCGCAAGGGCGACAGATCACCCGCCCCCCGCCCTGGACCTCCTTGGCCACAGCGGGGCGCCGTAGGGTCCTACTGCCCCTTTTCCACTGACCCTGTTGCTTGTGGCGGCGGCCGCCGCAACGAGCGG